CCCCAAAACCCCAAAACCCCAAAACCCCATTAGACTTTCAATAATGCAAATCAGAGTTGATAGAAATAATATAGAGCAGTAATATTTTATTATTGAATATGTCAAGTTTAGCCAAATCATAAATTTCCAAGCACATCTCTAAGATCAAGGGTAAATAGGGTGCTGGTAAAGCAAGAACACTCTTGTAAGGCAAGGGTTAAAAGAATGGCAATAAGATAGGTGAGGCTACAGCCAAGAAAATGATGCAAAAAGCAAGCAATAAAAAGGAGAAGAAGCGTAGTAAGGCAATGGAAGAGGAAATTGATAGTGATATTGCTGATGATATTGAGATGGATGAAGAAGAAGAGCAGACTTTGAATAAGAAGTCGAATGCTATTGCTAATGATCAGTTTTTTATGCAGCCAACAGAGGATTAAAATGAAACAGTGGAGGAGAGGAAACTTCGCATGACTAAGCAATTACTATAGGAATTGCAGGCACCTGACTCAAAGCATAATGACTTTTTTGAGACACTTTAGACTAAGGGGGATGCAGAAGCTGAGATATTCGAAGCAGAGGATGATATTCTGACCAGGAGACTAAAGTATCAGATATTAGAGAAGAAGGGCAAACTGTTTTACAATATTGCTAATGACTATGCTGGCAGTGGAGAATTCGATAGAGTCTTCTTGAAGGGTCACAAGAAAGCAATTACTGCTATGGAGTGGAGCACTGACAATAAGAGCTTGTTTACTGCTTCCAAGGATTGCTCGCTTATTTAGTGTAAATAATAATCGCATCTAAAAATTAATAGGGGATCTTGAAAGTCAAAAGAAATTATTCTTCAAGGGAGAAAAACACAATAGAGCAATATAAGGGCATTTTGATGAGCCATTATGCATGGCAGTATCTCCAAACGGCAAATACCTAGTTAGTGGAGGCAAAGACAGAGTAGTCAGAATTTGGGATATTCACAATCAATAGCAAATCTAAACATTCATTGGCCACAGAGACTCTATCACTGTAAGCATTAGCCATTTGACTATTGTAGGGCATTAGATTTGACAGAGAGAATGATCAGTTTTACACAGTGTCAAATGACAGAAGCTTGAAGGTGTGGAATATTAGGGAGATGGCTTACATGGACTCTCACTATGGTCACTAGAGCGACATTCTAGGACTGGACGCCTACTCACAAGATAGACTATTAAGTTGTGGACTAGACCGACAAGTGATCTTCTGGAAAATAAACGAAGACTCTGAGTTGCTATACAGAAATGAGAAGCACACAGTAGACACAATAAACGTGATTAACAATCAGTTTTTCGTGACAGGGTCCAGCGACAACTGCCTTGACTTGTGGATTATGAACAAGAAGAAGCCAATTTTCACTCTGGACAAGCCCCACACTGATGACTCATGGGTCCTCTCTACTGCCAACGTTAGAAACAGCGACTTACTGTGCAGTGGATCATACGATGGACAGTTGGTGCTCTATAAATTCAACAAGGAAGAGAAGAAACTAGAAATAATAAGAAGAGAGATAGGTCTGAATGGCTGTCTCAATTCGATTAAGTTCTCAAACGTCAGAAGCAATAAATTCAATGAGGTCATGATAGCAGTCTCGCACAGCAAAGAAGAGAGATTCGGAAGATGGCATGTGTAGCCTAAGGTCAAGGATGGCATCACTATTCTCAGAAAAGTCCAATGATCTCAATCACTTTTGAATTAACTTAATTAATTAATAGTATTATTATTTATTAAAAATGATAGAATATGCAATTCTTGGCTTTATATTACTGCTGCTTTTTATGATGTATATGGGTCTCTTTTAGAAGTTGGAGATTAAGGTAGAAGACTTTCCAGGCGGATGCTTCATTTACTACGACTACCAGGGGCACATAAATTCAGTGGAGAGATTCCACTAGACTCTGAAGAAAGAGGTTAAGGAGGTTGACTTCAGCAAGTTAAAAGAGATGACTATAATTTATGATGATGCCTTCAACCTCATGGACGCCAGATCCTACAGATGCGCTTTCGGGTTCTTACTTGAATAAAAAGACTAGGATCTGATTGATAAATTCACTAAGATTGGTTATCAGTGGATAGTTCTCCCAAGATCCAAGGCATTATATGGCAGCTTCCCCTACAGGAATCAAACTAGTTTGACATTCGGTTCATAGCGTTTCCTGCCATCATGCATTCAGTACATATATAGAAATCAGAGAGCAATGAAGACAGTTGCATAGAACATCGATCAAACTTGTGGCACTATTGAAATGAAGATAGGAAATCTACTGCACTACTACTTACTTACTGAAAATCAAGATAAATTCTACTTAACTACAAAGGAGTCATCATTTGTTAAAAACTTCACTAAGTATACAAATCTATACTATACTAAGAAAAACAACTGAGCTGATTCTACTTTTGTCACTCTGATCTAATTAATCTTTAATTTGTTAAAATATAGCCATGAATTGATGGTGGGGTTTTGGGGTTTTGGGGTTTTGGGGTTTTGGGG